GATATCATATTTAAAATCAACTTTGTGAAAAACAAAGCTTTTTTTATATATACCTTTGTCTCTTACAAGCCACATAATAGAGATTCTGTGCACCAAAATGGGAAGTTTAAGGAAAAACAAAATGTGGAAAATCTACCATCACAAGGCTGGTTAATGATTTTCTTTTCTTTTATACATTTGTAAAAGAAATTACAAAATGTTACCTTGGGAAGCTGAAAGCTTATCAATCATTTAGTTTTCAATGAAGAAACAAAGGCAAAGAGAAGTTAGCTGCTTGGTCTGAGGACACTTAGCCTTACATGGTACCTACCACTAGGACTCAATCCCAGTGTGCCAGTCCAAAGTTGGCTCCCTTCCTCACCTTCACAGATTGGGTCCCTTTTATGTACCTGTTGGCAGTACTCTTATTCTTGGTAGGAAATAGGTAATTTCCACTTTCTAGTGCCTTCTAGACAGAAACAGGAATGATCCCTCATCTAACAATTTGAGCACATTAAAAAACAAGCTTCTAGCCCAAACCAGTTTGGCTCAGTGGTAGAGCGTCGGTCTGCGGAATGAAGGGTCCTGGGTTCGATTCTGGTCAAGGGCATGTACATTGGTTGTGGGCACATCCCTGGTGGGGGGTGTGCAGGAGGCAGCTGGTCGATGTTTCTCTCTCATCGATGTTTCTAGCTCTCTATCTTTCTCCCTTCCTCTCTGTAAAAAATCAATAAAATATATTAAAAAAACAACAACAAGCTTCTAAGAAGATTTGGTACAACTTTCTTTAGGCTTACTGTGTGTGCAACAATGGGTTATGATAATAGCTAAGATGAACTGTTTCTGAAAAGAAAATGGAAAGCATGTGCACAATGTTGAGGCTATTTAATTTAATTGGCTCTTGGGAAGCAGATGTACAAGGGCCACCCATTTAGATATTCATATTATTAAACACTTTTCCTCCCATTGTTACATTGTTATATATACATTTTAATTAATATAATCTCCATATACTAAATAGGTATGTCAAGTAAGGTTTTTGATATTTATTGTTCAAACTTCATTGGTACATCTGCTGGAGAAAATATAAACCTCTAAATACTGTGATTGCTAGGAAACAAAGCTTTGCCATAAGGAGCCTACCTTTCTTTAAAAGGAAAATTTTAATCCTTCACATGCCATAGTTATGTAGAAAAGTGCTAAAAAATAAAAATTCAGCCACATAAATATAAAAAACTAGACACTTCAGAATTTCTGATAAGAGGAGACCAAGTCAACAAATACACTGATCCTACATCTCCATAAAATGATTGTAAATCATTTTAAAACAAAAAAGGAATGAACAAGAAGACACCCATACGTGAGACAGGAAAGTTATCAGAGGGAACAGAGGCCCTGGTTCTATTCCTCCCCTCCCCTTCTAGGTTAGAACAACATTGGGTGAGACTTGTGGCTAGATAACTATCCCCTGGCTGCCCCTGCTCCCAATTTCCTGGGGTAAAAAAAAAAAAAAAAAATAGTTGCAACAAACAAAAACTGTTCTCTTCCAGAATTGGCAACTATGCTGACATACTTCCCAGTTTTGAACCCACTAAGCCCTCAATTCACCATGCCACCATCCAGAGAGGAGGGATTGAGATGAACTGCCTGGAAGACACCCTCACCCCAATGTCAGAGACCATGAACCACCCCACTCCCTCCACTCACCCTTGGCTGATCTAAACCTCCTCCCAGATCCTATCAACGTGACTCACTACTCGAGTTTACCTGCACTCCTCTCCTGGGGTGTGTACTGCCACTTTAATAAATCTGCTTGCTCTGTTGAATCTCTCGGTCATGCTCTTGAATCCTTTCTTGTCAGGTGACAAGAACCTGGACACAGACACTTAGTGGAAGCCTCCCTTGGCCTCCGCCTGAGCCCTCTGGCATCATAAGCACAATAAGAATGAGTGAGAAGACCACAGTAAAGAAGCTAGAAAGCCAACTGACAGCTGATAACTGACTTAACCTGACTTGAAAAAGAAGAATTCTAGACCAGCAGTGGTGGAAAAAAATCAAGAAGCAACCAAATTTCCGCTGAGAATCTACACCACCCACCCCATAAAGACTCAGGAATTTTACACACCAGCACCTCTGTAAGTGGAGACAATGGCAGAGCCTTAAAGGGGAGCACAGATTCAAATACTACCTAAAAGCAGTTAGACACTTCGTTTCCTTTTGCCAACCTGCAGGAGTCTGGAAGTTTATTGTATGGAGGGAGTAAAACACAAGGTTTGTGGGCTGACTACAGGGCGTCAAACACTGGAGAGAGCAGGCCTACTGTGCTGCAACTAGAAAAATGAAGACATGTTCACATATAAACTGTGAGACCTTTTTTCGCCCCTTCAGTTCAAAGTGCTGTCATCTAGGCTTCTATTATCATGGCAGGACAGTAGAACAGGCTTCCCAAGGAGCAGTCAGATTGCTCAGAAAAAAGAAAAAAAAAACACCCAGAAAATATGTAAAGATACTAAATCGGTGCTCCATGCCCCACACCCAATCACCCTTTGGTGAAGCCTTGGTAACAGGTCCTAGATTTGCATAGAGAGTATCCAGTCAGCTCTTTAGTAGTTCACTTGTCAGTATGGACAGACAGTTAAAGTCACCTAAACACTTAGAAGCTACTAATTGTGAAGCCAAAAACAAACAGGAAAAAAAAAAATCTTTAGAAAAACAAAAATATACAAAGAGAAAAAAAATTATCATTAACATCACCAGAGAAATAAAACAGTACATCTATAAAAAGACAAGCATAATGTGTCTTTTAAGAAGTAGGCATTTAGAGTTAAAAAATGAACCATTAAAAATAATGCATAGTAAAGAAGAAATAGAATCCCCATAGACAGTTTAAAGGTAAAATTAAAGTTATCTCCCATCTATCGAGCAAAAATAGAGATGAAAAACAATGCAGAAAAAAGAAGAAAAAAATTAAAGACTAATGCAGGAGAGCAAAATATCCACACACCAAAATACAGATACAAAAATCATTAATTCAAGGAAATTTCCAAGAGCTGAAGGACACTAATCCCAAGATTGAAGAGGCCCACTAAATTTCCAATACACTGGATTAAAACAGATTCACACCAAGATACATCCTTGTGTAATTTCAGAGTATTGATCCTAAAAGATTTCAGGATATAAAAGATCAAAAATGAGAATAGCATAAGATTGTGGGGCCCTGGATGCCAGAGGAAAATGAAGTCTTCAATAATATGAGGGAAAGTGAGTTCTAATCTAGAATTTTATAACCAGCCTGGTTATTACTTAAACATCAGAGGAGAATAAACATTTGACATAAAAGTTTCAAAACCTACATCTCCACCCACTATCATTTCGTAAAAGCTACTAGAAGATGGATTCTGCCAAAACAAAGGAATAAATGAAGAAAGAAGGAGAACCAGGGTTCAAGGTCCACATAAAAAGACAAAGGAAACCCCCAACATTATGGAGAAGCAGGAAGAGCTTCTGCTTCTCCAAGAATCACTTATTCAAGGTTAAATCGATAGGCTGCCCAATGTACATGAGTCTAGTATAAAAAGATTTACACAATGTAGGAGAATTTAGAGATGATTAGTGGAATGTAGATAGGAAACTAAGCAAAAAAAGAAAAGAAAAGAAAAGAAAACTTAGCAAATAAAATATTTATTTGGCAATTATCAATTCCAAAGAAAATAAAAAGTTAAGCAGAAAAGGCAAAATGATTCTAATATACTACATTGCTCAACTACAACTGCAGTTCACACAGTCATAATAATATAAACATGGACTATAGGTCATTGGTGTTTACATAACTTATTGGGAAGGTTCAGAAATTACTTTGGGGAGTAGTCATAAAAGGGTGTGTACATGTAAGTGAAAGAAAACTAAAACCCCAGCTTCCATAAAAATGTAGATGAAAAATCTAGATGTAGCAATATAAGCAGTATCATTTATAAATATGAAAAGCAATCACCAAATAAATGGATAAAATAATTTAAAGTGATTACCTTTGGAGAGTAGAAATGAGGAGGGGTGTTATGGGTGTTTTTGTTTTTTTGTTTTGTTTTGTTTTGTTTTGTTTTTGTGGCAATCCTCATACAGATATTTTTCTTCACTAAACTGTGTGTGTGTGTATAAAACTTGTATTTTCAAAAACTAAATTTAGATAAAACCACACCTTGTTACAACAAAGACCCCTACCCTAATATTTAAGAGTGCTATACATTTTTAAATAGTTCCTGTCTATTGCTAATTTCAACTCAACTATTCTTAACCAAAGTCACATGACATGACAGCGTTCCTGCCATCTATGTAACAAATCCATTTTTGTTTGTGAAGTAGCAAGGTTAACATCACGGATGCCATAACTGATTAATTCGGACTCACTGAGCAGCTCCTGTATTCTGAGAATGTGTCTAGATCTAGAACATCATAGCTCTTCCGACACAAAACAAATACACACTGCTACTTTTCACTAACTGTGGAGAGTTCGATAAAACTGAATATTATACCTACAAGCTCCTTATTAGCAATCACATGAACACTATTATAGATAGGCATTACAATCAACAAACAACTTGGAGATATTCCCTAAAGTTCAGGCACCTTGCAATCACCATTTCCCCCTTGGATTTCTGTTTCAACAGTAATGAAGGCTATAACCAATATAGGCACCAAAATGATTCAGTATATCCATTCAACAAACATTTCTGATAGAAGTCTCCTAGTCAATTTGTAAGCCTCCAAACGTTTTCACAGATAATAAAGCCACCCATCTATTGAAAACTGATCAAATTAAAAAGAAATAGACACAATCAAGGCATTTGATGTATGCAGAAATCTTAAGAAAGGTTTTGTCATACTCATTTAAAAGAAGCCCATCTGAGAATCCAGAATTTTCAAGAGTGAGTCACTGTGGGCCTCTAACCTAAAGTGTGTTCTTCCTCCCGCTTTCAAGGACACCATATGGCAAATTATGTTCTCAGGAAAAGAAACAAACTTACCTTTCACAAGCTCGGACAGTCCATGCGGCAATTATCCATAACGAGATACTAAAAACCAAGAGTACAGTTCCTGGGCATATAGTCATTAAAGTCTTCATAACAAAACGCGTATTGAAGTTTATCTTATTTAGTGCTCCAATGCTTCTAGAGGAGGCATCAGTGAAAAGTTTGCTATGTAAAAGCATGACTCTGGCAATCAGATAGAGTCTTAAGAACATTGGTATAGATAAAATAATATCCACATCAGCGGTGGTTGTGGATGGGGTATAGGAGAAGGCAAGCCGGGCCGTCCATGTGAACGTATAATTCCCAGGTATGGGATGAATAGCACACACCAGTATTTCCAAGCAGATGAAGAAAATACGCTCATAAGTCATGGCTATTCTCCAGTCATCTGCTCCATTGTCCACCATGAACAACTGAAAAAATAAAGTAGAAAATCAGCTTCAGTATGGCATGAATGGTCCACAAGTGTTAGTGCAGATTTTAAAAATACATAACAGATGACTTCTAGCAATCATGGCACGCTAGAGGGGTATTATTTTAAATGCTAGCCAGGTACCCTATTTTTAGAAAGTGGTAATTGGCACAAAAGGAGAATTTCATTTCGTAGAAATTAAAAACAAAAACAAGAACAAAACAAAAAACAAAAAAACGTGCTACCCAGGAGCTGAGATTATTTTGGGGTCCATGCTCCTGGCCAATCGTGTAAGGAACATCGTTTTAAAATAAGGGGCTGGGGCTATCACAGGAAAGCACCCCCCTTAGATGAAGTTGGGTGAACTTGCCTAATGACAAACTGTTTTCCCTTGAAGGGTTTGGGTCTAAATCCTTACACAATTCTAACCCCATTTTCAGTGAAATCTATTTATGGTGCCTCTGCAATCAGTTATACCCAATAATGCACCTACACATGAGCGTTCTTACAGGAAATCTTATTCTAGGCTTCAGAGAGAAAAATTACAAGAGACTACAGTCAAATGCAGCAGAAGCCTTTCTTCCAGTATCCTTATGCTGTTATATGTTCCATCTCTTTTCTTCTGCTCTCCCTTAGCCTTCCCTGGGATTCTTTGTTTTCAATCTTTCTTTCTTTAATAAATATTCCTTTTTCCCCTATCTCTGTCATCTGGGATTATTTGTTTTTAATATTTCTTTTTTTTAATAAATATTCCTTTTTTTCCTATTTCTGCCATTCCTCTCACCACAATGAAATTTTTTAAAAAAGAAAGAAAAAGGAGACAGATAGATGAATGGATAGATTAGATATATAGACATATGGAGAGGGGGGGAGGAGAGAGAGAGAGAGAGAGAGAGAGAGAGAGAGAGAGAGAGAGAGAGAGAGAGAGAGAGAGAAAGAAAGAGAAATGTTTTCTGGCTTCCCTGTCTTTTCAGTAAACAAGTCCACCATGCTCTAGGAGTCCATGAACAACCAGAAGCATTTCCAAATGTGTGGTGACATTTCTGACGGCCACAATGACTTTTGGGGACTACTGGTATTTAGCATCAGGAAGCCAAGGGTGCCAATCATGCTGCAAAATTCGGGGAGTCCCACACACCAGAAAGACCTGTTTGGCCAGAATGCCAATAGTACTCTCCCACTAAGAAAGATTTTTTTTTAATTTTTTAATTTTTAATTTTTAATTTTTTTTTTTGGCCTTCTGGTAAGTAGCCAGCTTAAATAGAAAGCATGAGACAAAAGCAACCCAAATAAGAACCAAGCGTTCTCAGCGAATTAAACCCTAAAGGTTGGGAAAGCAGGTTTCCCCTAGGGCTGGATTCTATGTTCTGTTCCTCTAGAGTCAGGAAAGTATTTCCCCCCCTCCCCAATTTTAGATATTTGAAAATTCCCATACTAGGTGAATTTTTCCACAGCTGGTAATTATTTCTCAGGATGTCATTAAACACTGCCATCAGTGTTACTCTGTAAGGGCAGACATCTGAGGACAAAATTATTACTCTTTTCTGGTATCTCAAGAAGATGAAAACTACCAAAATCTCTCAGAAACATATCCAAGTTTTAACAAATTAAGTTATGACAACATAATGGCTCATAGGTATGCCTTTATCATAACTTTTCATCTAGGGACCTTAAAGTGTTTGACGGATGCTAATAGATAACAAAAATTTATGTTTTTCCAGTGTCCAGTTAAGAAATAAATCATAAATAAAGCATCCCAATCTGGCTATAGAAATATTCCTTTTCAATATCCCTACTTTGATTACAGGATAAAGGATTTCAATAATTTATACAAAATATTGTATAGATGCAATGGCAGGAGCCTTCTAAACTTCTTATCAGTCAGTACATTACTGAGTACTGTGTAACTCTGAAGAAATGTGATCCCCAACTCTCCTAAGATGTTTATATCCAAAGTAATGTGTCCCTCAAACTAGTTCCTTTGTGAGGCTTTATACACATGTTCCAAAAATGTAGTACCCGCTCTCTTCGGAAATTGTTCTTAGGTCCTGTTACAAATCACAGAAAGAAGCCAGTATTGTTATTTAGATCTATATTTCCATTTCTACTGAAAACGGTATTACCCAGTTTGAATTTAGCTTTGAATGACTTGGCAAAAATCAAATCTACCTCCACAGTGGCTAAGAACCAACACTCCAGGTAATCAAAAGCTGTGCCACAGATTCTGAGCTCAATTCCAAGATTTCTCAATACCATTTGGGGCAACAGCAGCATAAATGCAGAATAAGTACTTTCCCAGGTAACTTGGAAAGAAACTCCAATTTAGACCTACAATTCTGGGACTGGCCCTCCTTCGATCATTCACGGTGCACTGGCTCCTCTAACCTCACTCTACTTTCTCTTTTCAAGGCCCCTTTCATTGTCCTCTCAGCTCAGTTCCCTGACTAGGATGGTTCTCTATTCATTCCCATCATTTCAACCGTTATCTCCCCAGCATTCTCAGCAGCCCCAACCCCCTAGACCTTCTGGTGGGCCTGCCCATGTAACCTCCAAACGGGGACCTGATGTCCACGCTGCTTCGGGTGCACTGGGGCCACCACATGCCCATGCCTTGAAGCTCAGCTGAACCCTCCTCACCTTTTCCTGTGATCTTTCCCTTGTCTCCATAGCATCTGCTCCAAACAATCAGCTTTCTTCCCAAGGGCTATCTTTGTCCCTTGTTCTCTCAGCACACTTTTCCCCCAATATCAGAAATATCCTCTATTTTATACTTCAGTTATAAACTTACCTACCTCCCACCTTTCTCTCCAAATTTCCCTTTTCTCTTGCTCTACCTGTCCTAAGCAATTTTACACCAAAATCTAATTCTCCTGCAGTGAGAGACTATTTTCTTTTCTTTTTTTTCCAATTACAGTTGATATTCGGTATTAATCTGTACTAGTTCCAGATGTGCAATACAGTGGTTAGACAGTCTTGTACTTCACAGAGTGTTCCCGATATTTTAAGTACCCACCTGGCCCCATACATATTATAATATTATTGACTATGCTCCCTATGATGAGCTTTACATCCCCTAGGCCAGTGGTCGGCAAACTGAGGCTCACGAGCCACATGCGGCTCTTTGGCCCCTTGAGTTGTGGCTCTTTTACAAAATACCACATACCCTAATTAAGTTCATAACAATGTACCTACCAATATAGTTTAAGTTAAAAAAAAATTGGCTCTCAAAATAAATTTCAATCATTGTATTGTTGATATTTGGCTCTGTTGACTAATGAGTTTGCCAACCACTGATAGGCTATTCTGTAACTATTAATTTGTACTTCTTAATCCCTTCACCTTTTTCATACAGTCCCACAATGCCCCTCCCATCTGAAAACTACCAGTCTATTCTCTGTATCTATGAGCTGTTTCTATTTTGTTTAGTTTCTGTCTTCTCTCTCAATAGACTACAAGCTAGTTCAAATCTCTACTGTTCACTGGAAACAGAGACCCTCAAACAAAGAAGAACCTCTATTAGCTCCATATCTGATCTACATGGTACTGATTTTCTGAATTTTTAAAAAAAGATTTTTAATTGATTTTTAGAGAGAGAGAGAGAGGGGGGAGAAGGAAGAAGAGAGAGAAACATAGATGTAATAGCAAAACATAATATAATATTGTAATATGTATGGGGCCAGATGGGTACTGGAGATGGAGCCCACAACCTGGGCATGAACCCTGATCAGGAATCAAAGGCATCCCTTTGGTGCACGGGACAATGCCCACTAACCAAGCCACACCTGTCAGGGCCTGAATTCTCTTTTATCCCCCAAGACCCAGAAGTGGCTTTTGCCCCATCCCTCTACCAAGACTACTGTTACAGAGTTTGTTAATTATGAAGTCACTCCTTCCAGCTTAATTTTTATCTTACTTGGTCTTACTCATTCCTTCCTAAAAAAAAAGACACTTTATCTTAGCTTGTGTGGCATATTATTTTTACTGCTACCACTCTGAAGGCTCCATCTCAGTTTCCCTGAAAACCACCTTCCTCCTCCCCAACTAAGTGCTCCTACTCTACTGAGGTCCATCTCTGACTCCTCTCTGTACTTTCCTGAGTGCTCTCATCATGCCTTCTATCCCCACTATCACATTCCTCTTACTGGAAGCTACCCTCCATCCTCTAATTACCCTTTACAAATGTGGAATTACAGAATTCCATTGCTGTTAAGATTAAAACCATTCAAAGGCTCCCATTCCACAATCCAGTTGAATTCTCTTTAACCTCATTGCCTGTGACTCCTCTTGCATTTCCCTCTGGTTGCAGATTCTGGAGCACACCACCCTAATCATGTTTCTAAGTCTTTGTACATATAATCCTATGGACTGGAACATCTTTCTGCCTCAAAAATGCTTATTCCTTTCAAACAAAAACTCCAAAGTCAGCTTCTTTAGGACACTGTCCAGGCCACAGCCAAGTCTAAAAATCCCCTCCTTTCTTCTACCAAGATCCCTGTATGTATATCTCTTATAGATGCTGTCACAGAGGACAATAAGGGTTTCTTTGTATATTACCCTACTTGACTGTGAGGTTCCTTGAAGACAGGAGTCATGTCCACTTAGTAGAGGTAAATATTTATTAAAGGAACTGCCTTTCTATTTCTCATTTAATATTAAGTATCCTGATTACTGGATAGGTCCTAATGTGAATTAAATATGCTCACAGAAGGCCCTGGCCAGGTAGCTCAGTTGGTCTTCCCAATAAAACAAGGTTTTGAATTTTATCCTTTGTCAGGCCACATCCAAGAAACAACCAATGAATGCATAATAAGTGGATCAACAAATTGATGTTTCTCTCTTTTTCTTTCTCTCTCATCAATCAACCAACTAATTAATTAATCAATCAATAAAATGCTCATGGAAGAAAAGAATCCTAAAGCATAACACAAGTGAAATAAATACATGACATTTTTGAAATTTGTAGGAAACACATCTTACTAAATGCTAAGTCACTGCAGCAGC